AACTCTTTATAAGCGGAATCCTAAAACATTGGATAGACTCTAGAAGATTGTAAAGGAGGAGGAGTGGAATAAAATCAACCTTGATGTTTTAAGAAAATGAATTTTATCTTGAAAATCAAGATGTAATATGATAGTTCAACAAAAGGGCTATCAGACTGAACATACTAGAAAATAAATTTCTAAGGTTTGTTTACATATAAATCTTTGCAAAATCGTTACAAAAATGTGTGAACACCCTCTGTATATAAATGCATTTTAACCATTCCTCCTTCTAAAAAATAGCATTTTTAAAAAGAATATCAAATCTAGAAGAAACTATTTCATTCTACAAAAGAGATTTGTAAGTATCATTCCTATGGTATTTCAAAATAAAAATAAGAAGCTACAAAAACACTGGAATGAAAAAATATTTAATTAATAAAGTTATTTATCATAACATAAAACAAAGCAATATGCTGACTTCTAAATTAAAATTTCTTGTGTTTGAAGGCTAATTAAATATCTAAAGAAAGGGCTTACGAGAAAGACAATCGACAGCAAGCTAATACATAGAGAAAAATTAAGGGCAATTCACTTCAATGTGATTTCAGAAGCAGTGTTTTCTGGATAACTGGAGACTGTATGAGTTGACCCAACTTTTTGGCATTTGCAGTGTCAGTTTAAGATATTTCATTTCAAATTTCCAGTTTAAGTACAGTTTTTAAATGAATATGACTATGTCATCAAAAATTTTTCTTGAGGAAAACTTGAAATCAAATGGAATACTATTAATAAAAAAATTTCAAAAATTGAAAATGTATAAGTTAATGCAGTAATTAAATAAATTATTTAAAAGAAAATTCTCTTCATGTTTGTTAAGAGAAATAAATCAATTATCGACCATAAGTGAAATACGGCTTATGATTTTTACACAATAATCTAAAGTAATAAGATTGCTATGAGATATTAATGATAGATTTCAGAATCAAAGATTTTGAATTTTACTTAAAATCTACACCAATGTAAGGTTGCTTTTACATCCCTCTGTTGCCAAATGGATAAGGGCCTTAGCCTCTGGAGCCAAAAATTGTGCGTTCAAGTCCTACCAGCAGTGATGCTGTAATGCAGTTTGTATTTAAAAAAAATCATTCACACAAAACTTTATGTTAGCTTCAGAGTAGCCCAGAGGTTTATTCAGTTTGCTGAACATGAAGAATAAAAAACCAGTTTTTGACAGAATTCTTATCGCAAAGGTAAACACTCTAAGAAAAAAAATTAACTGATACTAGAAGCAAATCTGGGAATTGCTTTTTCCTTCTCGGATGATGATAGGAATTCCCCAAATCTGTATCAACCATTTTTTTTTTTTTTTTTTTTTTTTTTCCGGGGAGGGCGAGGGTCATGAAAACTGCATTTATTTTTCCATGACTACAAATGTCATTTTCACCTTCCACATGGCGCTTTATTTTAAAATTGTTGGCAAACCCATATTTCAAAATAAACTATTCAAATGATGCGATTTCATCATCAAAAATCTATCAACCAACAATAAGAAGGAAAATTGTGCCTCCTTTTCTAAAGATTGTGAAATTTGACAAGTGTACTTGGAAGCCTAAAAATGCAGACGTTCTTTTTATATATGAAGATTATCCTTTTTATAACATCCTGCCTTTTAGCCATTACAAAACGAATACTGTAAAATCCGTTTTGGCTAATGCGAAAAATCGCTTCGAAGTGCACTGGCTCTTGTCTAGATGCACCTATGTAACAAATTTCATCGCCATGGGTCTATTAGCTTACGTCTATTAGCTAGTGCAAACGAAAGACACACATACAGACAGACTCTTTCTTTTATTATATGTAGAGATTATCCTTTTTATAACAATCAGCCTTTGCACAATTCACAAAACGAATACTGTAAAATCCGTTTTGGCTAATGCCAGATTAGCAAATTTATACTGGTAAAGATATAGGTTGCATTTCTTTTTTACCTAATTTAAAATTGAGTGCTTATAAAACAGCTAGTGATTAGTAAGCTATTTGTTTAAAACATTTAGGAACATCATCATTTATGCAGAAAGGAAGCTTGCAGTATGTGACGTTTAAATTATGACAAAATTTAATCTTAGACTGATGCTGATTTTATGAAATTTTAAGAATTTTTAATGGTTCTATTTGTTTTCTCAAAATGCATGACCATTTTGCACCCGACTTTTATAAGAACCAAGTTAGAGATTTAATCTTGATGATAATTTTTCATTAGTTTAAAGAACATTTACATGAGTATTAGCAAATTTACTAACTGCATAATTCAATTTTCAAAATAGAAAGCAAAATATTATATAAAATGCAGTTATGTTGGTGAGTTTTAAACAGAACTGACTTTATAAAATAAAACTTGACATTGACTTTTCATTAATAATTATACTCTCATTTAAGGGTAAAAAATATATACAGAAAATACATCTTAATAAAATTTTCCTTCTTTATTAACTTTTGCTTACTTACTTATCTATTTATTTTAGAAACTGCTTGCTTTTTTAAGTGTGATATTTAGTAACCCAATAAATGCTACACACGTTACAACAAAATACAATACATTTTAAAATTACTTAAAACAATTTTATTAAGGAAAATACACATATGCAAAAAATCTTAGAGTATTCCTACCCCCAAGAAAAATTACTATCAAAATATGTAATTAAGAATTTTTATCTATCATTCACCAAAATCCATACACAAAATCAATTATATATACAATGATCTTTTTCTGGGACATTCTGATGAAAATAAGTGTTCTGCTTTTGGATAAATGGTTCAGCAAGGGCTAGAAATTAATCAAATTCATGAGGTATCACATGCAATTAAAAAGAACTTTCAATGTCATTCAAGCACATCTCCTCATTTAATTATTTGCAACTTCCACCGCCTTCTGCTTAACCTTTTATACGAGGGTTGGAACTTTAATAGTGGCAACTATTTATTTACAAGGAATACAAAAGTTATTCATGTCACCATGTTTTACAGTCCTTCAATATAGTCGCCAGCATTGTGTACAACCCGTTTCCAACGATGTGAAGTCGCAGATACCTGTAGCAGCGCCCGCTTTGTTGATAGTTGAATGGACTGGTCTACTGCTGCAAGAATCTCAGAACAGTTTGGAAGCGGTGCCACGAAGTGGTTCCTTTATCTTAGGAATTAAGTCATAGTCACAAGGACTTAGATCTGGGCAGTATGGTGGATGGCAAAGCACTTCCCAGGCCCATCGCTTGAACAAATCAGTCACAGCTTGCACTGCATGCGGCCGAGCATTGTCATGCAAAATGAGAGGAGCGTTCTGCAGAAAGTGTCGCCGTTTTTATCTCAAAGCTGGTCGGAGATTGTGCTCCAAAAATGAGCAGTAATACTGCGCAGTGACGGTCTGCTGTGGGGGAACGATATGCGTTAGACACCATCACAGTCATATACGAGAATCACCATAACTTTCACATTGCTGGGGTTCTGACGAAATTTCGAACGTTGTGGTGACCCGTGATGACGCCATTCGTTTGATTGGCGTTTCAGTTCTGGCTGGTACGATTGGGACCAAGTCTCATCCAGCGTAATGATACGGCGTAAAAAAGCATCTCCTTCGCGCTCATAGCACTCCAGGTGGGTTCGGCAGCATCGTATCGTAGCCATTTCTGCATTTCCGTCAATTGATGTGGAACCCATCGTGAAGCAATTTTTTCTCATGGACAGGCATTCCTTCAGAATGTGCAGCACAGTCGTATGCGCTAATCCTGTTTGTCCGGCCAGCTGACGAATCATTTGGCAGCGATCACTGTCCATTAGTGCAGCAACAGCTTGCACGTCTGCATCGCTGACACTCGACGACCTGGCCGCAGCATGTCTGCCACGTTTTGACATCTTCATTGAATGCTTTCACCCATCTTGCTACGGTTCTGTAAGGCAATACAGATTCCCGCAAGCCTCTGAAGTCCTTGATGACACGTCGTGCTGTACGACCTCTGGCACATTCAATTTTTATCTAACATCGTTGTTCTTGTTTTGAAACATCCTGACAACACTTACTTTAGACCGCGAGCTAATACAAGGATTCGTTCTTGTCACTCGCATGTGCGTGACGTAGGCAGGACGAGTCTTTTTGCGGAGGTAAGGTAGGTATGTAGTTTACGTGTGGTATACGCGATATTCTTTGGTTTTGTTGCGTAGCGTTTTTTCAGCTGTGTTGCTACTATTAAAGTTCCAACCCAAGTATAAAGAAAGAAGTAAAAAAAGTTTTCATCTAGCCATAACTAGATCTATTTTAATTAAGCATTATAATTGTAGGAAGCCAAAATATCCCAAAAATGTACATTTTCCTCCAAGTTTCCAATATGACGAACCATCTAGTGCACACATATGACAACTTTAAAAGTGTAAGTGTCTGCCCTGGTGTAGATTGACGTACATAAAAAGCTTTTTTTTTTTTTTTTTTTTTTTGGGTGTGTGTGTGTGCCAATGAACCAGTGTGAACTCTTAAAATATGAGCTTTTTATTACTTGAGATGACTGACCTGTATCCTTTTTTAAAAATTGACTTATTAAAAAAAAGTTTATATTTTCCGATATCATTTTTCATTTCTCAGATTTTCCATGACTTTTTAGGATTTTCCAAGTGAGTGAGGTCCTTGTTATAGCTTGCATAAATTACGAGTAATAATGATATACTTTAGCTTTAAGTGAAATAACACAAGTTTTAAATTCTACAGAAGCAGAATTACATTTTGCAATCCTTATAACTGTTTTTCACAAGCATAGTTTAAATTTAACTCACCTTTAAGATAACATAAATATACACAATTATTACAATGTTTTACTTCTGATCTGAAAGTCATACACCAGAAAAGTTCTATTTATTTTATTTAAATTAAATCACATCATGATGAATGAGGAATTTTATATTTATCTCAAAATTCCAAACAATTAAGAGTTTTTTTTTTTTTTTTTTTTTTTTTACAGCAAATCAAAATCTTTTACCTTGAGTAGATATAAATGCATTCTTTTGTCGAAACCCATCTACAAAATTGGCATTCAAATAGTCAGAACATGGATCTGAATCAATGCAGGAAATTTTTACTCGAGAGTGATCATAACAAAGAACATCAGAGTATCTATTTTTTGGCTGGTTGGACTTCAATCTAAAAAAAAAATATATACATATAAATTTACATTCTTATTATTATTACAGCTTGCAGATCAAAATTAAAGTTTGAATTTTGATCATGTCTACAAGAGTTTCTAATTTAGGAACTGCATCAGGATCTGCAAAGCAAAAACATGTTTCGATGTCAATCAAGCACAAAGTGAAAATTCTGCAAAAAATGGATAAAGGCATATTTTACACAATGAGTAGGCACTGGAAAAATAGAAAAAAGGGTCGTTTTGAATTTTTTGTGGTTTCCGACACCCCACTATCAATCGATAACAGAAAAATCATTTTTTAAAATGACAGTGACCATCATGGCAAAATGATGATTGAATGAGAAGACAGTGTCATAGCGAAGATGTGCCATTGATGAGTCCAATGCTAATGGTTCAAGCCAAAATATTTAATGGAACTGAGTACATATATTCAGCATTTTGGATAAAAGGTAGTTCAAATTTTCACTCAAAAATGATTCAGCTGAACAATTTCCAAATGAATCCATCAAACTCATTAGCAGAGTAGTTATCTCTTGAACAAATTTATAATGCTTACAAAATTGGTCTTTTATGCTACTATGTGCTCCAAAATATTTAGGTGACTTCTGCAAAATAGGCCCTAACTGTTGTTAAAGATTTCAAAGTCAGACTAACGATTTTAGCTTGTACAAATGCTGCAGAAACACACAAATGTAAACTGTCATGGTCAGAAAAAATAGACAACCTCAAGGATTTTAAAGGAGAAAAGAATTTCCTTGTTATCTATTGTTCAAATAAAAGAGCATGGCTGACACAAGCATTAATGAATGATTGGTTTGAAAATTATTACATACTCGAGGCTTGGTTGGTTTACTGGCTGATGCAAAAATTGTCCTCATTACAGACAGATTTCAGATAATATTTCACTTAAAGTTTTAGTGAAAGATAACATTTCATTCTTTCTACCAAACTGTACATCCATCATTCAGCCAATGAATATTGCAATGCAGCAAAAACAAAAATATATAAATATAAAGAAGCTCTTTTAAAATTTATGCTAAATTTTCAGGACAGTGGCAATATTATTTAAGATTTTTTAAAATATTTTAATATAAAATCTGCTATGTAGAGCACTGCAAGATCAGGCGAGATGTGCTGCAAATATTTTAAAAAAGCTTGGCATGATTTATGGCCAGTTACCATATTTAAATGATGATGATAGTCAAGAATTTAATCAAGATGATGATGATAGTCAAGAAGGTTTTAGATACCATTAACAAAAGGTGAAATTTTCCAATTAATGGAATTCTTTAAGAAATGTGGAGAAGTGATTATAAATAAAGATTATATAATAAAAGTTTTCCATTGTGATAATAATGCCCCAACCATCAATCAACTAATAGGCAGCAGAATCTGTAACATGGTCTTAAGACACTGCAATTACAAGACTTGAAAAATGGAACTTTGAACAAGAAATTATGCCTAGTTATAAAATTAAAGAGAAAATATTCACACATGCACACACACATGAAAAAGAAAAGAAACAACTTATATTAAAAGAACTATTTAATAAAACAAACAATCAGTCTTTCATTCCCCCCCCTTTTTTGGGTGAATATTTATTTTACCCTTAAGATCATAAATGCTTCATTATTTCATTAACAACTATTTCACATTTTTAATTTATAATTTCCACATGCTATCTCATTACATTTAATCTGATAACCTAAAATCCAAAAATATCTGGAATCACTGAACTGCCAACTATTCCAGATCTTGAGCAGAAATTATCAAATAAAGAGAAGGAAAATGGGCATATGTGCATTAGAAAACCCATGTATGCAGATCAACAAAATAACATAAGTATGAATATTTTTAAAAAGTTGAGTTCCATATGCTTGCATATGATTTCCTGCATGACAAAGTGAATGACAGAGAAAACTTCTTTAAAAAATTCTAAATAAAAAGTTTAAAAATATAACATTTTTTAGAATTTAATATTAACTTGTGATACATGAAAATTCTCTCAATTTTTTAGATTTTAATTTAAAATTAAAATTTATTTAAGTTTAATTTTTTTAAATTTTGATTCAGTATGCCATTAAGAATTCATATTCTTTTTGGTCCCCTTCAAAATGCAACTTGTATTATCCAAAATAAGATTATACCTATAAATCTAATTTTACTTTTATTGCAGTTTCCTGTAGTTTTACTACAATACTGTATTATATTTATTATATCGTACTGTGTTTGTTCTGTTACAAAGACTGAACTGGAATGAATCAATGATAAACTGGAAAATTTCAAATTATTTTTAAATTGTGTTAACTCAGAAAACATGTTAATAAAGTGAAAAATTACAGAAATTTAAATATAAAAAATATATTTTACACCTAAATAGTTTGAAAAATGAATTACTTTGAGGACTCAAATGTTCCTTCAGAGCTTTTAGATTTAATTTCTGCATATTCTTCATGAAGTCCTTTCCTGCCCTTCTTTTGTAAATGTTCAATAAATTCCTCTAGAGTCTGACCAGAGCTGATATCACTGTGAAGAGAGTCCTCAGATAAAGATGAAGATGGGCTACTAGATGATAATTTTTCATCAGAAGGGATTATTTCTTGCACAGGAGAATAAGATGCAACTTGTTTCTCTGGAACTGATAGTGCTATTTCCTTGATCACTTCAACTTCTTTCTCCCTATCTTCAGAATTCTGTTTCTCATGAACAGAATTTTGATGATCACTGGATTCATCTGTTTCTCCCTCACTACTCATAAAATTAAAATGATGTGCTGAGAGACCATTACTTCGAACAACTTGGGGAGAGTAAGGACCATTAGCAATAGATGGGGATGTGGGTGCTGACACTAAGTCACAAAGGTCTCCACAACGATTTGCCATAGTTTTCAAACAATGAAGAAGCCAGCACTGATGATCAACATTCAGGTTGCCACCCAGCTCTTGTGGCAAAGATGACAATGGCACATGAAGAGAAAGTTGTGGAACACTTACCATATAAACCTAAATTTTAAAACAGGATAAATGAATTAACAGACATAGGTAGTTAACCAAATATAAACATAGATACATGGATGATAAATACTACAAAGGACAAAAGAGTTATCTGCCTAAAGAAGGAATGCCTTGATAGAGGACATTCAAAGGAATACTCGCTCACATTTAAACTACACATGGGAAAAACAACAAAAGTACCTATGCAACCAAGCCAGTTCTCCAGGATTTGAATCCAGGTATTCAGTTATCTTATTCACTAAACCAATGGAGGGTAAATATATGAATAACTGAAGATTTAAATTTTAAAAACTAAAAACCAATGACTAAATTTGAATTACAAATTAATTAAAGCACTGTTAAATTGATATAAGAAACTGCAATGTAGAATGTAAGCATGATGACTAACAATGTAACCCATAAATAAGTAATTACATTTCAATAAACTTTAGAACATTAGTTAATTATGAAAAAAATGATTACCATCCTGAGGGAAAGTAAACTCTCATTAATTAATGAGTTAATTAATTAAATGATAATATTTCATGAAAATAAATAAAACTAAAAATTTACTTACTCTGTCCCTTAACTTTTCTCTAACAAACAACCTCAGAATTTTGAAAGGAGCTTTAAACCATAAAGGAGCAGTTACAATAAGAACCTTTTTTAATCTTGCTGGATAACCACCCTGTCAAAAAAATATAAATAATAAATAAATAAAACAAACCTTCAGCCTTTCTTTTCTTTCTTCTCCCCTTTTTTGCAAATGTTTATTTTACACTTAAAGCCATAAATGCTTCATTATTTCATTAACAGCTATTTCACATTTCTAATTTATAATTTCTACATGACATCTTACTAGATTTAATCTGGTAACCTAAAATCCAGAAATATCTGGAATCACTGAACTGCCAACTATTCCAGATCTTCAACTTTGGTAATGGACCATATTAATGGTTATTTCTAGTAAGAAGATTCAGAAATGATCAAATAAAGAGAAGGAAAATCGGAATATGTGTATTAGGAATCCCATGTATGCAGTTCATGAAAATAACTATATACATAAAATCAATATAAATATTTTTAAAAAGTTGAGTTCCATATAAATAAAGGAAAAAAATAAACAAATTTCTACTATATATAGAATAATTCTTTCAAATTACACTTTTTTAATTTTATTAATCATTGATAAATTCAATACAAAGTCAGGATTACAGTACTTAATTACAACGAGTGACATTCATAAAATGTTCACATTAAAATACATTTTTATTGTAAAAACACCTTATTAAAAAAATAATAACTTTGCATCAAGAAAGCTATGATGATGTTTAAGAACATATGCATGTTTTTTATAAAACAATTATGTATCGTTGATTCCAGTCAATTCATACATATTGGAAACATAACATTTTAGCCAAATTAGACAATTGCCCATATTACACGGAGCTTGAAAAAGCTAAATAAAATTTAAGACCGGGGGGGGGGGAAGTCACAAAACAGAATGCACATCATAATAAACTGAAATCCTTGATCACAATAATACTTTTGTGATTTCTGTATTTGATCACAATAATACTGAGCAGTTTTTAACAACCTTAAGTTCCATATAAATAATATTCATAATTTAAATTCTGACTGTAAGACAATTTTTTTAATTAATTCAATGAAAATTTAATAAATTTTAGATACTGTAGAAAACCACAAAAATACAGCAAGGAAGATGAGCCTAATCATTAATGAGACAAAACTAAACTTATGATTGCATCTAACAAAGCTGTTGATTTATGCCCCTTGAAGATAAATTAGCTTTGACACCATAAAACAATTTAAATATCTGGGCACACTGATCACAAGTTGTAACAATATAAAAATTGAAATAAAAAATAGAACACTTATGGCTAATAGATATTACTATGGTCTTAAAAAACAACATAAATACAAACTAATCAACATAAAAACTAAATTAAATTTATTTAAAACCTTAATAAGGCCTGTTGCCCTCTATGGAAATGGATGTTGGATACTTAATGGAGCAGAGAAAGACCCGATATCAACTTTTGAAAGAAAAATCCTAAGAAAAATCTTTAGACCGGTACAACAAATAGCATGTGGAGGATACTCTGTAATCATGAACTATATGAAAAATATAGGAAATATGGTGAAACTGATATTGTGAGAATTGTAAAGGCATCTTATGTCAGATGGCTGAGCCATGTGTTTATATATGATGATGCATTTCCAACTAAAAAGATAAACCTTTTTGAGAATTGAGGGAGTAAGACAAAGAGGAACACCACCCACTAGATGAATAGATGGTGTGGAGGAGAATTTAAGGTTAACTGGAGTTAACCGATGGAGGGTTACTGCACTGAATGCGGTCAGGTGGAGGAAACTTGAAGAGACAGCCTTGGCCTGTAACTCGCTGTGAAGCTTATAAAGAAGAAGTTGAAAGCCACAGGTGACCCACAATTAAAATATAATATTCACATCAAATCAATCATATACAATAAAATTTATTTTCATTTATATTAAAAAACTTCTGTTAGCTACAGATACATAATGCATCATAATTGCATAGCTATACATCAGTGAAATTTTTTTCAAATTTAAATGGCAGATTAAAGGGTGAAAGTAAAAATACATAAATCAAAAGACAAACGTAAAAGTACAATAAAGGTAAGAAGGATAAAGATGGGATGTCTGCAGAAAATTTTGAATATTTCCAGAATCTACTGTAAATACAGAGCATAGTTGTATAATGTTTGCAAATGCAGATGGTACTGAGTTCTATTCCTGCTACTTTTCCATCACAATACTGCATGTCTTATTATTGTTATACATTGGTATACAGCATTTCACATTCCATATTATGCACTGTCTTTCAGAGCTGAAACGATAGAACATTCATCTCATGTACATTTGCTATATTTACAGTTTCTTAGCTTATTTTTCTTCACAATATCTACCTTAATTTCTATGGTAATCGTGGGGATTCCCCCTCTTCACTACAACTATTAACTTGATCCATATGCTTCAGAAGCATGTTGGATATATTAAAGTTGTTGAAATTTCACACAGCTACAAAAATACTATAACTTAAATAATGCAGAGAGAGAGAGATGCTGAAGATGGCACCTCCAAGCAGTTGAATTTGCATTGCAGAAGTGAATTAGTAGTGTATTTATGAGGAAATATTTTTCATGGGTTGAAGAGGTGTAAATACATGAGCACCTGTATATGGTTGAAAAGGTGTAAATACTTTAGCAGAAAATAAACTTCTTCCCTAAATTGCAATAAAAATTATATTAAAGCTCTGATAGTTATCAAAACCTTGAAATCATGATGCAGAATATCCCATAGCAGCAATAGAAAGATAATTCGGTTTATGGGCGTAATTCTTTCTAAAATCTTGCTTGCAATCCATAAAACTGAGATATCAAAATAAATTCCCCCCCCTCTCCAAATAATAATGAGAACATAGATGATTTGTTCAGCAACATAAAAATATTCATATAAAAATGATTAACAGAAGATATAAAGAAAAATCCATAAAACAAATTAACCTGAATTTTAATTTGAAAAAAATTGTAACTAACTGTTCGCTCACTTTTTCATTTTGTGCAACTTTAACAACAGCTGCTTTTGCCTTCTGTGATGATATGGGAAGAATGTGACATTACACTGTTGTTGAACAGATTCATTTGCAGTATTACAATTTTTTTGGATTGAAGCTTTTCTACAAACTTCTGCACTATTTCTGACATTTTATAAATCTCCCTAATCTTATTTGAAGTAAAGAATTTCTCATTCTTTTCCTCCTCCTTCTCAAACAAGATTTTCTCCATAAACTCTAGTTGTTGCTTGTGATGCAGATTCATCAATTCATTGGAAGTCAAATTTTGGTGAAGTTTTTCCACCAGCTTTTGAATGTCATTCTCGTTTATCTCCCGTCCCAAGGTTCTTCTTTAAAGATAAAACTTCACTGGTAACTGGATGCTCTTACTCATTGAGCACATATCTTACAGTCAAGTCCAAGAACACAATCAGGCCACAGATTTCTTCAAACCTTTCGTGACTGCATGCTGCTGAGCTGACAACTAACTCATTGGAGATGGATATGTTATATGTGCATCAGTCTCAAATGTCTCTAGGCCCACCAGCGGCCTAGCGGTAAAGTCGCTGAACACTGGTAGTTTGGTCTCAGGTTCGAATCCCGCGAATGGGCTGGCTGCATGGGCGTTTTCGTGGTTTTCCCCCATGTGTAACGTGTATACGAGCCAGTTTCCCTTAAAAAGTCCTGCACGAAGGCATCCCTCCCCTTAGGCAGATAGCCCTCGAGGCTTTGCCATAATCACACACACACACACTCAATGTCTCTAGCAGCTGGGTGACGCACTGGTGCATCGCCGCTTGCATTGATCTATCAGACAGGTGTATCATACATGCATTTTCAGACATACACGTTCTCTTAGAAATTTTTTTAATCACTAGATACTTCATGTTCATTACAGTAAATTTATTTGAACCTATACATTATTGACCTTGTGTCTGTTAAGTACTTTCTGATTCTGATGATTCGTTTAGATGTACAAGCTGGAGTTATAAACAAAACATAGCTAATGTGCAGCTATGGCTTCATGTGATATAAATACTGGACCGTTTTGGATGCTTCAAATTTGTTTTCTGTTTTTTCCTATGAAGAGATTGGGAGTGGAGCTAACGTTTTAGGAATACCTGTTTGTATTCAGTTTGCATCTTCTTTAAATAGTATGCATAAGTTTTTTGTATTGATTATGAAAATTAAACAAAGATTACGGATATCTAAGAGAAAGAAATTTTTAAGGGAAAAAGAATATACTCAAATGGTAAATGAGCCCATGAGTGACTATCCTGACAGCAAAGACTCTCTAGATTTAAGTGAGAGCAGCGATTTGAATACCAAAATTTTGTCATAGGCTGAATGGGAAGCTTGGTTTGCTTCTACCTTACAATTCAGCACAACAGTGGATACTTCTTCATGGACTTGATCTATCAAGGAAATGAAGCTGCAAGAATCTATGAGAATTGCAGGAGTAAATTTAATTCAGATTCAAAGGTATTTGAATGAATTTGAATTTTTATTGTTTTCGATATCATTTAATGAACATAATAAATATTTAAAGCAATTAATAATATCTATGAACAAAAGATGAGCAAAAATCCATAGTTCTCCACAATCAACAAAGTTTACACCATTAGATATGCTTAAAATTAAGGGATTCCTACGATTAATTACTCTAATGGGAATAATTAAAAAGCTCGACCTCAAAATGCATTTCAGAACTAGTGAAATGCTAGTGACACCTTTCCAAATTGTTTATGCTATAATATTTAATCATACACTGAAGTGACAAAAGTCATGGTATACCTCCTAATATTTTGTCGGTCCTCCTTTTGCCCGGCAAAGTGCAGCAACTCGACATGGCATGGACTCAACAAGTCGTTGGAAGTCCCCTGCAGGAATATTGAGCCATGCTGCCTCTATAGATGTCCATAATTGTGAAAGTGTTGACGGTGCAGGGTTTTGAGCACGAACTGACCTCTCGATGATGTCATGGGATTCATGTCGGGCGATCTAGGTGGCCAGATCATTCGCTGGAATTGTCCAGAATGTTCTTCTAACCAATTGCGAACAATTGTGGCTCG